TGTAGTGGACCCATCACTTAGCATGACGCTGTGGTTCCGGTAAGAACTTGCACATCCATGTTGCCTTTCATAGGTTAATTTTCCTTTCCATTTCTCCCCATGTTCTCTGACGTCCAAATGGTACACGGACACTAGAAATAATCGAGAGAAGATTTGGAAGACATTGTGAAGACTTTTGCTCTGGTTTCATTCCCTGTTCCGTCTTGCCTCTCGAAGTCTGTCTTCTATTCCAACACTCAAGTCATTTTAAACACAAAGTAGAGCAAGGGCAACTCTCCCTGCTGAGAGTATCCCTGGGTCCTCATTGAATCCCAAGGGCTATCTTTCCAGCCTTCTTTTCTGCTGCGTCCTCTCTCTCTCTCGCTCTCTTTTTTTTTTTTAACAACACACACCACAATCCCTCCCCAGTGGACTTACAATATTATCCAGGCCCCGGACCTTATAGCTGTTCAAGTCCCGCTCATCCTTCTAAGTAAACTCCTGAGTTCCCAGTACTACAAAGTCCTCTCCCATGATCCCGTATGGATATACATGCCAGTTGTTTAGTTTCTTATAGCACATTGTTCTTTTCTCTCTTTTTTTTAATGATTCCTTGATGCAGACTTCCTTATCTACATGCTTTTCTCCCAGAAGAGATTGTTCACCACCTCAGAGCAGAATGATTTTTGCCTCATTTTCCTCTGCCTTGGTGACTAGACAAATACTTTACACATAGGGTATTTGTTGATTTAGCTAATCGGATGCTAACTGGAGCAGGTTGAAATGTATGGAATGCTAGTTGCTTTGTTTCAGCTTGGGTTCTATTTCTTTAGCATCACTTAATTGTGGGTTCCACTTCCTGGATTATTGAGCATGTGTTAAAATTCATATTTTGTGTGAAGCTTTTTTGCATCAGAATTTATAGTATTTGCCATATAAATGGCAAATTTATTACCTATTATTATAGGTAATAAAACTGCTTCTGCTGTGCTTTTATGAAAGTGTTTGGTTAAATGTGTAAGTTATGGAATTTTGTGCTTCAGCTGGCCAGATGGTAGTTCACCAAAGTAATACCAACAACGTCCTTGATTGTTGGTACTTGGGCTCATGAGTTGGATGACTTTTTCCATCACATGAAATACTCTAGCTTATTGGTTGTGTTTACTATATATTCCAAAGCATTTCTAAATTTATAAATGCTTTGGAATATCTAGCACCTAGGGCATTCTGGAACTGAATCCTCTCTGGGATCGTAATAATTTAGTAAAGTAAAAATATATTTGCCACGTACTTTCCAGTTTACAAATCTCTTGTATGACCCCATGAAGCCCCTGCAGCAAGTGGCATATATAGGGTGATGCTTTATCACAGAAATAACAGTCCTCTGCATGTGCCGGAGTGTGGGCTCCTATCCCAATCCCCTTCTCACTCCCATTGTCACTAGCTTTGCTTCCTCCCCTCTCTGCCCTTGAGTGTTTCCTCTCGAAAATATAAGCATAATAGCACCTACTTTTACATACTTCCAGATTTGTCATGATGAGGCTCTAGTGAGCAGATAGTTCTAAAAGTGCTCCATAGTCTAGAAAGGTACTAGGTATTAAGTAAAAAAAAAAAATAATCGCTATCTTCATGCCAAACAATGACATATACGATCAGCTCTCTCAACCTATTTGTTTTTTCCTCTGAAATTGAACGTTTTCTTTGGGCTTGAAGCAGTAGCCTAGGAAGACAAGATTTCAAACAGTCTATCATTCTAACATTTGCAAGTCTTAACACACTTGCTAAAAATACTAACTTTGGTTACCATTCTGGGTAGCATTAGGCAATATATGATCATAGCATTTATAGATGTGATAGGTAATAAATTCCAAAGCAGTTATCTGTTGGTTTTGTCATTTCTCTCACATTTACTTCTCTCGTGGAAGAAAAATGGAGGGCTCTTGCCTTTTGGCAAAATTTTTTATGGCTTGGAGAATCAGGAAGTGTTTTCTTCTATATGGAGTGCAAAATAAATGGCTGTCATTCCCCCCACCCCTTCCTTTTAGCTTTTGTTGAAATCCGTTTTTATTGGCTGGAGTACTGTAAAGAAATAGAGTTTTGGCAAATTCCTCCTGCAAAGATTTACTTAAATGATTGCATCTGAGCTGTTCTTGTCAGGTGGTTTTTATAGAGAGTTATTGAAAGAAAAATTGGCGATCACTAATAACATTTTGAGATATACCTTTAGACACTGCTGATCACTAGCAATTGGAAATGAAGCAAGCATGCAATTAAAATAGAACTTTAAATGAATTGCATATACCGATGCAAGACTTGGCAGACAGAGATGCTGGATTAATTGGAAGACAAGTGTGTTATGTATTTCTTCTATTAGTGTTTCAGAAATATGCCTGTTTTTATAAATGATATGTGTTTTATATAAGGTATTTGACAGGACCATGGTTATGTGGAATTGTGGACATCTGGAAGGATTGAGACTTTTTGTGCAGTGATACCTACAGTTGTGAAAATGCAATTAGGTACACATGTAGCAGCATATATATATATATTTTTTGAGACAGAGTCTCACTCTGTTGCTCGAGCTAGAGTGCCGTGGCGTCAGCCTGGCTCACAGCAACCTCAAACTCCTGGGCTCAAGGGATCCTCATGCCTCCGCCTCCACCCAAGTAGCTGGGACTACAGGCATGTGCCACCATGCCTGGCTTGTTTTTCTATATATTTTTAGTTGGCCAATTAATTTCTTTCTATTTTTGGTAGAGACGCGGTCTCGCCCTTGCTCAGGCTGGTTTGGAACTCCTAACCTTGAGCGATCCACCTGCCTCGGCCTCCTAGAGTGCTAGGATTATAGGCATGAGTCACTGTACCCGGCCATAGCAGCATATTTTTATAACTTACATTTTAGTAATGACAGAGAGCAAGAATTGCATAATCACAATATTTTGAGACATTGTTAGCCACATAGAATTTAACAGTTTCTAAAGAAACTGTTCCCCCTAAAGGGAACAAATGCTTGTTGGATGTTTCTTGCCTGCAATGACAAAGGCGTACCTTGCAAGGAGCTGAACCTGTGTCGGTGAACAATCCCCAGATCTTGGGGAGTGGTCCTGCTACCTCATAGGACACTTCTTGGATTGAAAAAAATCTCAAGGTATTTTGAAGAGTGCCATTCATTAATTTCAAATGGTCTTGAGGAAGAATTAAGTCTAAGCATACATATTAAATAACTGCTAAACTGTTTTGCCTAGGAGTCAATGTCTGCCCCCACCCCCTAAAAAAGAGAGAGAAATCTGGGGATAAAGCAATAATACAGCCTTTGGAAACAAAACTAACTCTTTAAGGAACAGATCAAATATGGCAAGGTAGACACATTTTTAAACAATGTTTCATTGATATTAGAAAAATGGCATTCTTTTAAAATTGTTCTGTTGGTGAAAGATTGTACATTTGTTTCTGGTGTGCTTGGACGAGATAACACTAAAACTTGGGACAAGCTCATACAAGTCTTGGGAAAGAATTATTAAAGAGCTCAAGTCTATTTTTTTAATTAAAGTGATTAGAAATGAATTGTTCACATGCAACATTGCTGAACATAGTATCTACAATATTGTCATAAACATATTTGTTCCTAACGAAACTTATACGAAGCAAGAAAGAGACATTACAGATTTGATCTCGGTTCTTTTTAAAGTTTAGCAAGCACCAGAATGTCTAGTAGAACTTGTGAGAAGGGATTCTCAGTCCTGCTCCCAGAGAATCCAATTCGGTAGGTTGAGAGAGAGGTCCATGAGTTTGCGTTTCTAATAAACTCCAAGGAGGGAGGGGCCATAATATTTGTCATTGATCACACTTTGAGCAGTATTGCTGGAAAGGATTGGCAGTTGATACAGGGGACATTGTTTTCACATATATCTTTGATTAAAAATTGACAATTAATATTTGAAAATTAAGTTCCATCATAGAGTGTTCCAGTGTATCTTCCAACTATATCTGTATTTTAAAACAGAGAGGAGGTTACTAGGAAATAGAGTGGAGAAATAGTAACGGTATAGCATATGTTTTGAATTCTATATTATATATGCTTGAAATTCAACTGAGAAAAAATAATATAGATAAAATAATCATGCGCTCATGAAAGCCAGGGCTATGCCTATATTTAAATGACTTACATTCGACTATACATGACTATTAATGTTTACTAATTAAAACTTCCATTAAAGTAACATTAATGCATGGAATCAAATATCCATGCATATCAACATGACATTTTCTTCAACCATGAGGGATGGTACTATCGTACACACACATGCACATACCATATATATACACATACTATATATACCTTAGATATAGTATGCATGGTAATAAACTATATGTTGTATATGTATATAATTTATTTATTCAACAATGTTATTTAATATTATAATTGTTGCTGAACAATACAGACTGGCTAGTGTCTTTGATTTGTCAGAATATACAAGGTAATAAGCTAGGGGTGTATGTGTGTTTACGTGAACTTAATTTTCTATTATGAAATTCTCATGTCAGAATCTAGTGTTTAGATTTATTCAATATATTTTAATGGGGTGATTAAATTGGATGAATGTTAATGCTGTTGGACCCATTAAGGTAAAACACAAATAACAATAATATATGTGCACATTTAATACAATGCATTTTCACTTAATCACTTGTAGAAGAGGGCACAAAAAATAGCCCTACGTTGCCATCTAAAAGCAAGTCAATATTACATATTATGAGAAAAATATTTCATCTGAACAAACAACCTTTAAAATTATTTCTTATTGCATAAAAAATAGCTTCTTACCCAAATTTTTCTGTCTTATGGTGAAATCACTTATATTACATCCAGTTAAAATGATCAGCTAAGTAGCTGGATTTCCTAAACAAATTAGGCAAAATGTGCACTGAAAATCAACCACCGCAGGTGAATTCTTTTTGTTTTCCTCTTGGCTCTGCTTCTTAGCCATGTTTTACTTACATTTACTGTTCCCGTCTTCCAGTGCTTGGAGCCGTGCAAGGACTCGGGGGACCTGAGGAAGCAGCAGTGCCAGAGCTTCTGCGAGGTAAGGGTGGCGGAGGTGCTGTCCCCGCTCGGCCAAACCAGACTGTGCATAAGTGGGGTGGTGGGTAGGGACAGGCATTTCCTGCACCCTGGCCATCAGCTTACTCCAGGGGTGTGCGTGTATTCGTATGCCAATTCATGTAAAAAAGGAAAAAAAAAAATTCTTAAGCCTTCCTAAAACCTAGCTACCCACTGCTTACGTTATTGGTTAACCAGACAGAAAAAAAAAAGTTACTATGTATAGATGGAAGACTAGAATAGAAGCTTTCTAAAGGTACAAACTGTCCCAGCCTTCCCACCTCACATCATGGTGATTCTAGGAGCAGTTCAGCACATGTCATTGAAATGTTCAAGCCGTTTGGGAGAGGCGGCCCGTATGATTGCCATCAGGCTTTCCCAGACATTTTCATCTTACTGTTTTCCCTCGGGGCTCCTCCCCGTGACCTGGGCAGAATGCTCGCCCAGTTTTAACGGCATGGGAGGGAGGTGTCCTGCTCCACCTATGCTATCGGTTGTATTATCTACCTACGTACCTATCTATCATCTATCCATGGATTGTCCTTATTAGGAGAATGTACCATCCAGGAGGAACCCTGTCTGATGTCACTGAGAGTGTGAAAGGCGGGAGAGAGGCTTTGCTGCCCTGTGTCCCACTGGGTAGACGAGGGACACAGGCTACACTCTGCTAAGGTGTAGCCAGAAAGATGCAGGGCTCCGCAGGCTGCCTGGTTCCAAAGACAGTGGCCTCAAGAAGCCAAGAGAATCTGAAAGTCCATGGGGGCCCGTAGAGGACAAGCTACAGGAGGGCACCACAGCGCTCAGGGAAGCCCAGGGGAGGGCCTGGGGAGGAGCCAGAAGAATGAAATGATGTTAGGGGGTGTCTTTGAACAGAACTGGGGGCCAACAGGGGGCTGTACCAGAGGATCCAGAGAAGCATGGTGGTCTGGTCTCCATCCACTGCTGCTGCTGTGATCCTGTTGCCTGGGTTTCACTCTGGAAGGTACCCAGACCCTATCCTGAGAGGATGGCTGTGGAATTGGGATGATAATGGCTTTATCAGTATATAGTATGCATGAAATCTCTTTGCAATCTTATCTGGCCTCCTTGATTACCCTAGAGTTAAGCAAGGCAGATAGTGAGCCCCCAAGAGTTGTGTGGACTCTTGGCCACGAGGACGGGAAGTTGAAGCTGGTCAGGTGAGCAGCTCACCCAGGGGCCAGCGCTCCAGGTGGAAAGGCTGGGTCTAAAGCTCTTGTCTTCTGACGCCACTTGCTAAACAAGGGCTGCTGCTGGTGAAAACCACGTGGTCCATCACCAGGGCTCATAGTGTTACAGTGTTATTTCAGAAAAGTGGAATGAAAGTGTTTCTCAATTACTAAAGTTATCAATACACGATTGTCCTTGTCTTCGTTTTATTTTGCTCTGGTAGTTCCTGCTCAGCTTTCTGTGACTGGTGGAATATAGGTTATTTGGAAACCTTTACGTAACCATGCCTGTCACTAGAAGCACTCAGGAGGCCTGAGGATTCCTGTCAATGTCAGCTTTGGAATCATTTTGTCATTGTGAACATTAAAATGTATCAAATAATACATAGGACTCCTGGCTATTTAGCCAATTGCTCTGCGACTGACACCCATGGCTAGGGTCATGATTTCATGTTAGATCAAACAGAAAAAGAACCTTCAAATGTCTTTTTGCATGCAGCACTTTTCTAGATGCCGGGAATGGTACAGAGTCGTATAACTTGTGCTTTTTGCCATCCCTGAAGGGAATTGACATATTATCCATCTGTTTTATCAAAATCCAAACTTTTCCAGAAAACATGCATACTAAGTGTGATGTGTCTTTGTATTAGCTATCCACTGCGGCATAACAAATTACCCCTATATTTAGTAGCTTAAAACAACACACCTTTCCAGCTCACAGTGTCTGTGTTCAGGAGTTGGGGTGCAGCTCACTGCAGCTCCTGCATCAGGGTGTCACAAGGCTGTACTCAATGTGTCACCTGGGCTGCGTTCTAGTCCTGGGGCTCTGCCAGGTACACAGCTGTTTCCAGGCTCATTCTGCTCGTTGGCAGGATTCCCTTCCTTGGGGTTGTAGGACAGAGGTTTTCTTTTCTCGTTGTTGGCTATTGGCCACAGTCCACGCTCAGCTCCTAGAGGCACCTGCAGTTCCTTGTCAGGTGGCCCTTTTGTGGGTAGTTCCCGACATGGCTATGTGCTCCCTCGAGGCCAGCCGGAGAATCTCGCTTCCCAGTCTGCTAAGACACAGTCCTGGGTGTCCCAGGTTGATCCCAGCGCTGACGCCTTCACCTTTGCCAAATGCCACGGGCTAGGAGCAAGTCCCAGGTTCCCACCGCTCCCTGGCACACACATAAAGCGGGTAATGGCCCCAACGTGTGAGTCCGGGGGGAGGGGGGGTCACTGAGGGTGTCTACTGCGGAAAGCAAATCCACAGTAAGGATTTGGGTCCACTGAGACACAGACAAGGCAGCAGAAATAAAACAAAACCAACAAATTGATGTGAAGACAAGGGGAGTGAATCCATCCAGTGTCTTTTTCTACATTCTATAAAGGATGCTCCTGCTTTTACTTTTTAGAAAAGATTTATTCATTCATTTATCCAACGCAAACTTTTTGAGTATATACGGCGAGACCTGCAGTTTGGTGCAGGGCACTGCAGTTTGCTTATGGCAGTAAACCAATCGGACAAAAATTCCTCCCTTGGTGGGGTTTGTTTTCTCCTGGATGGAAGGAGATCTCAGCTGGGAATGAGGAGAACGTGACTCTAATCCTAACTTCAGGACTTACTCATGACATGTATTCAGGCAAGTCACTTAATTCATGTCTTTAACTTCATTTTCAAAGGAGGAATTTATTCTATTTATCTTATTCAGTGTTGTCATTGAAATAGATAATGAATGTGAACACACTATACAGAGCTTGTCAAGCTATAATGAAGTAACAGAATATATATATACATATATATATATATATACACACATATATGTATTATGTGTTATTGGCTTGTAGGTCACAGCTCTGGCAGGTGTCTCTGAATCAGCTATTAATTCTGAATTCTTACATTGATCATCTATATTGATGCAATTACATCCAAATGTCTAGTTGAGTGACTATTGTTCTCCTACTTATTGTATATTCTATTCTGCACACAAAACATGCATCTGTATGAACTAAAATATGTTTTTACAGAATTTTGAGGAACAAGGTGTGCTGTGCTGTTTGTTTTACAAGTTTATTATCCCTAAATATCAGTGACTCTGGGCTGATATTTTTTACATCTGATCTCAGGGAAGGAAGATGTAACTGAAGGTCATTTGAAAACTTTCTCCCTGGAAATTCCAAGTTTAAGAGCTGGATTCTGTAACTGCCATCCTTTTAGATAACTGTGAACCAAATCTGGTTTGTTAAAATGGGACTCAGGTGTTTGAATTGTGATGCACTCTGGCGGGAAAGGTTAACTGAAGCACAAAGGTTGGCAAAACTGATGCCAGTTAATGTGAAAAACTTTGTTGAGCTGCCTCAGGCCAGTGGTCAAATAACTCAAGCCTTGATGCACCATTTTAGTTGCTTTGATTGTTTTTAGGTTTCTGTGTGGTTTTCCCTTCTGTTTTATTTTGCAGTAAATATGTGACTATTGTGTTGAAATATGCTAAACCCTCTAAACACTGAAGGCTGTTTCAGCATTTTTAAGGCTGGTCATTTCTTAAGGCAGGCCTAATACAACCCTGTCCAACCTTTCCATCCTCATATTATTTAAAAATGCATACAAAGCCGAAGTTGGCATGACTCTCAGCTTTCACTTTGTAAAAGTTTAGAACTGAAAGGGATTCTAGATTTCATTCTTCCTCAACTGAAACAACTAGACTGTTAGACACATTTGGCCCAATGTGTTTATTTGCAAGGTGGTCTGAGCTTTAGTTTTCTTCTAAGGAGTGAGTTGGCAAACCATGACCCATGGAGCAAACTGCCCTGCCTCTTGTTTTTGTAAATAAAGTTTTATTGGAACACAGCCACCCTGGTCTGTTTACACACTGACTATAGCTGTTTTTGTGCTACGACAGCACAGCTGAGTAGTTGTGACAGATCAGGTGGCCCTTAGAGCTAAGGCTACTTACAATCTGGTCCTTTACAGAAAAAGTTTTCCAACTCCTATGCTAAGAGAAAGAACTCTTATAATTATTTCACAAAATCTACTGAACAATTTGGAGTCATTTTTAAATCAGTATTACTAGCACCCATTTCTAAACATAATGCATTATCTTTGGTCATTTTTAATCACAATGTAAATTTTCTTACACGGAAGAGACTTTTGGAGGCTTGTTAATAGTAGCATCCTTAGAGTTGGTTCTTTTGCTTTCTCATTTGCCGATTTCTATTGCTTCTCATTTTATTATCCATACTTTGTTACAGATAACCAAATAACTTTTGCTATGTCATAGTTAATAATGCTATTTTTAAAATGAAGACATAAAATGTTTGTGTTAGAATAGGCATAAAACAGATTTTTCAAGAGTTCTTCTCTGGATTTATGGGATAATTTTTCATGCATTGTTTTCTTAGAATATGGTGAGCCATGATAGATACTTAGACAGGCAGATAGATCCTGCTTTGCTAGTTTAGTTTATAAACTGACCATTATCACCATTCTTCTATTTTTAAAAATCTTAAAAACTATGTTAAACCTTTTCTTACTGATCACAAAATGTACATTTTTCTACATTTAAACATCCCTTTCTCACAATTGATGGGATCTTAAATTATAAATGACAATAATTTTTTTCTCATTCTTAATAGTGTATAAAATAATCATATGTATTACAAGCAATGGTGTCTTAGTTTTTATGACACTGGAGATATCATATTTTCTGAGTTGCCTGCTGGCTGGAGAAAACACCCATCTTTGAATCTGATGTTTTTTTATTCATGAGATCTCTGCACCAGGTACAAACCCACTGGGATGTCAACATTGGAAGTATGA